ACACAAAAAAGGGTATAAGTCTCAACCTCTGTGTAGTGGGTGGTCAGCCAGGGGTCCATTTGCTCTTGATCTGAAACAATTTATCAACAATTAGACATCACACATTCCTTGATTAAATTGCATAAAATACACAATTAAGTTAGTTGATTAAACAAAATAAGATACACAAGTAGTTACAAAAATTAGTTTTTTTATTGTTTAGTAATATAATCATGCTCCAAGCCTGACCCGGTCCCAATGCAACCCAACCTGGACTCACCTGCTTCCCTAAGTGGGTCAGGTTTGGGCAGCAATATTGACTGTATGACCCAACCCAGTACTTTTGAAGGGTTGGGTTTGGGCACTGTTATTTGACCCAAACCCGACTTGGTTTCATCCTGACTGCAAGACTCCAGAGCCCCCGGGGGAGGGGGGTACATACACAGCAGGCAGGGGCCAAGTTCTTCAAGCAAGGGATGTTAAAACATTTGTAAAACCAATGACAGCATGATGCAGGTGGTGACCTCACAGCATTCAAATTCTGTCAACTTATGTATGTACATTCATACGTCCTTAGATTTTGCCAATCATCCTTGTGTGCAATTGTTGAATTCATTATCCTTTCACATCAGTAGATCCCAACAGATTGGCATGATCAATTCCAAAAATACTTATCTTTTCATTATCTTCAGCTTTAAAACCAAATCAACTTGTCAAAAGGTACCAAAAATCAACAATTGACATTCACACATCTTCCACAGCCTCACCCAGATCAAATTCCTGACAGATGGGATGTCTGAAGCCTTGAAAGAACTACTAGCCGTTCAAGCAGGCGTTTGGAGCTTTCACACAGATAAAAACATGCAAACATTCATTGAGACCACTTGCCTGGTTGTTTACCCTGTGGGACACCCTGACTCTGATTTTTAAAATGTTTTGGACTCCAATATCAAACTGGATGCACTTAGCATGGGTGAAGGTTTGGACTTTCAAATAAATAATTGACCGTGAAATTTTTTACTTTATCTACTCAATTTCTTTAGTTATTTGCAATCCAATCTTGTTAGTACTTGCGGTCTGTCAACCTTAGAGACATGTTGACATGTCCTAAAGGTTTCACAAAACATTTTAAAAAAAAAATGGAAAAAATAATAATATTGAAATTAATGAAGATTTCACTTAAATGTTAGAGGTTTCACAGATATGTGATCTCTTGAAATTAAGATTAATCAAAGAACTCCAATTCCTTTGAATATTAAAAGCAATCTTCAAAAAGGTGACTTCAGCCTTGCAAGATGATCAAATCAAGGCAATGCAAACAACACCAAGCTTTGGAAGAAGGACTGGTACAAAATAATCAACCCCAGAGACCGGAACAGTCCTTCCTCCCTCCTCAGCAATAAAAAATCTTCTTACCTCTCATAATTAATTTTGAGACACCAAAAAATAAAGGTAATTACTTAGTATAACTCATCTGAATATAACCTTTTCAGATTGTCTTATTCTATCTAATCTCTTTACCATTAAGTGTCTATATAATTAATTTTGAGATAAGTAATTTTCATCGACTCTTGTTTTATTCTTACTATCCCTAGATCAACCATAACCGCTATTTCCAAAACTTCTACTCTTCCGCATTTGAGATATCGCTTCGGATCCTCTGCAAATTAATCCTAATTTATAAACATCAAAAATTGAATAAACTATGTAAAATTAAATGAATGATCGGGTTTGATTTTAATAACCCTTCCATGTCTATTGACTGGATAAAAAATCATCACAATCACTATATTTGATTGATCCTATCCCTACCTTTAGGGATAGAGGCCTAGGTGTTTCTTTACCGGCTATAACTATTCTCTAAGAATATAAGAAACCTCAAATAAACAAATAACAAAAAAAAGAATACTCCTTTCTCCTCCTTTTCCTTTTATCTCGTTGTATTTAGTCTTATCTTTAGTAGTAATATATTATTATTACTCTCTCCCTTGTCCAGCTTGATCTCTACGCGAGATCGACTGCTGACAATTGGGGGCCTCATCGCTTCCCATACCCGGATATCTCCCTCATCACATCAGAGGAATCATACGACTAGCCTGACTTCTCCATTTCACTTGACTCAATTCCTCCTCTTATTCGGTTATTATATTTTTTTTTTTAAAAAAAAGGAATCGTTTCCCTTAAAATAAACTAGAAAACAAAATAAAACAAATCGCTTCTCTCGAATCCTCTCAAATCCTCTTTGTTTCTTCTCCTTAAACTCGACTCAATAAAAAAAAAACACAGATATTTCTTTTATTTGTGCAATGGCTATCGTTCTCGCTGTCAGAGATCGTACATCAGAATCCAGTAGTAGCAGCAAGACTCACAAAAGCTTCACTTTACGCTCTCCCAATCCACCCGTTGATACGGGCTGACACGTTATAGTCGATACATCGATTACGCTAGTTAACCGGCCCAACGAATCAAGTGTTAAATAGAATAATTAGGTTTCAATTTCTGAAGGAAAGCAATACCAAGTAAAGAGGTATAAAAAAAAAAAGAAAAAGAAAACGAAAACGACCTAGTAAGCATTGATCGATTCGATATTAGATATCACCTAACAAGAATCTAAAGAAAAAAGATGCCATCACACCTTAGGAATGGCAAAGACCTTTCCCCAGAGCAACTTCGAATCAATGAACAACACCGCTACAAACAACAGTAACGAAGTCGGCAACTTGGTACCAACCCAAAACCACCATCCAACCCCGTCGCAGACCAACAAAGATAAAGAACAGATGCAGCAGCAGTCAAACGAGCCAGACAAGAGCGAGGATTTTTGATTGTTAACCAGCAGCACTGTTTATGTCAGACTAGATCACCTTAGCACCTGAACAGGAGAAAACCGATTGAAACATTTTGAACGATCAAGACTCATCAGTTGTGATGGCCAGTACAAGAAGTCAGGCAGCAGCCTGAGTCAAGAACCAACACAAACAACACTTATAATGACAAGCAACAAATCTGCATCCAAGATGAACTGCAAAACTGTTTCTTCGCTGTCAACTCACATCACAAACCGTTCTTGTGAAGATTGTAAATGCCACGAAATGACTGTATCTTCCAATCCTAATAGGGTGCCGACCTGATAAATTTTCACTTTTATAGTGCTACACTAACTGGAATTAATTCTTATCCAAGATCATCCAATGATTACGACAAAACTTGCTTCAAACCCAAATAAAATTGCATCTATCTTTTTAAGTTGTTGTTTGATTGCAGCTCCTTATCTACCATTAACCAACAATATCAACAGCCAGATTTCTGATCTAGACCAGGAAATATAAACTGGAGAATCTTTTATTTGCTATTTCCATTTCCAAGCTCATTTTTCAATCTGAACCAGAAGGTAGTCCCAGTTCAGATTACTTATTCTGATTGATGCCACATTCTTGAACCCTAATATCACCTGTGCTCCGAAACTAACAGATTTCAAGTATGCACTTATATTCTTCAAGTGAATTATGAGCTAAATGAAGACCATTTCAGCAAGTGCCCAAGATGCTTTGTTTTAAAGTAATATTTCATGTCGCTTGGCACTGTTCTAAGTCCAGCATCTTGGTTTGATAAATGAGAGACTAGATAGATGAATGTGATATTGTTCCTCAAAAGACACTCTGATTGAGTACACGGCATCTTCAACTGTTGGTACCCAAATTCAAGATGAACAAAGATGAAGCTGCTTGATTCAAATCAATGGCACCACTGTGTCATGCAAAGTACAATGTTATGGTAATATATATCCACATTTTGAGTAGGCAATCACACAATCAGTGAGGTAAGAATTCTCTTACGTCCTTGAGCTTTAAAATACAGCTCACACTTTTATACAAGAAGCAAACTTTTACCTCCCAGACCTATATAAACATATCATCTTAGCCTTTGAACTTCAAGTGAAGTAGTACATCAAGTGGCAAGATAACACCAGTTTACTGACACAGTTGCAGGCAAACTCATAAGACTGAATGCATCAATGGATTCTGGATTTAGATTAAATGGAAAAGTGGCAAGGAGAGAAAACACATGAAGATTGGGAATGTAATTCCACCCTTGTACATTATTGCCAAAGCTT